CCCACCACCACTGCTGTACTGGCAGCCATCAGCCTGGCTTGTGGCTGAGCAGAGCTCCCCCCGTGAGAGCGCACTGACCACCAGAGGGCAGCTCCTGCATTGAGCGTCTGCCCCCTGGTGGTCAGTGTGTGTCATAGTGACGAGTCATTCCCAGTCTTTCTGCTGTTAGGGTCAGTTTGCATATTACCCTTTTACTATATAGGAAAGAGGCCTGGTGCATGGGTGGGGGACGGCTGGTTTGCCCTGAAGGGTGATCCGGATCAAGGTGGGGGTCCCGCTTGGGTTCCTGGCCAGCCTGGATGACGGGCTGATGGCTGTTTGCAGCTGGTCACACCCCCTTCAGGGTGGGGGTCCACACTGGGGTGCCTGGCCAGTCTGGGTGAGGGGCTGAGGGCTGTTTTCAGGCTGGCGGCTACTGAAGCTCCCAGACCCTTTTTTTTTCTCTTTTTAAAAAAATTCTGGGATTTATTTACCTTCTATAGCTGTCACTGGAGCTGAGAGCCGGCTCCAGCTCTGAGGCCTGGCTCCAGCTCTGAGGCTGCGGCTGGCTGAAAGCAGGTATCTGTGTTTGTTTAGCTTCTATAATTAAGACTCTGTTGCCATCACTGGCGCTCTAAGCTCTGAGGCTGTGGCCAGCTGAAAGCAGGTATCTGGGGTTTGTTTGGCTTCTATAATTGAAACATTGTTGTTTCCGGAGCTCAGAGCTGGGCCGCGGCAGGTGGGGAACCTTGGCTTCCTCCATTACTGGAGCAAGCAAGCCTCATGTTCGCTTCAGCTGCGTGGCTGCCGGCCGCCATCTTTGTTGGCAGTTAATTTGCATATCCTGCTGATTAGCCAATGGGAAGCGTAGTGGAGGTATGGTCAATTACCATGTTTGTCTATTATTAGATAGGGTGAGGGCTTACTATTACCATTTTATATTTTTTTTCTGATTGCTCCATTGTTTCTTTTACCTTGTGTTTTTGTGTGTTGTTTTAGTTTGGTGGTTTTCTATAATGTTTTTCTTCACTTCGTTCTTTTTAGTGTTTCATGTCTGAGCTCTGCATTTCTGTTTTGTGGTTACCATAAGGATGGTTTAAAATACGAATTTGAGGAGGGGAGGGGAGGAAAGCATGGAGCTGCCAGAGGCATCTTCCAGGCTTAGATGTCCAGCCTAGGCCATTGGAGCAGACTGCACAGGGATTGAGTCAGAGCTCAAGCTTGTCATGGTAACGTTCATTTGGCTGAAAGCCAGTTTTTAGAATCTTTGTACAAATGACCAAAGCCATGTACTTGTTCAGGAAAAGGTGAGATAAATATATTTCTTTCAAAGTGAAAAAAAGTATATATATCAGTTTGAAAAAATAGTCCTGTTTCTTCTGATAGCATGTTATCTTCATTTGCCTATACCGGTTCCACCAGTTACCTCATCCTATTTATATTTGGATTAGCACAAATTATCTTTTTTTATATTGTGTGTTTGTGAAGAAATAGAAGTAGCTATAGTTGTTTTCACTGCTTTTCCCCCCTTTAAACTTTATATTATAATTATATGTTTAGTACCCTCTTCTGAAATGTAGTTGCATTTTCTCTTATTCTGTCTGTGTGTTTCACTTTACTCAGTTTTATGTA